GAAAGCTTCAAGGTGGAAACACAGAGCTTAGATTTTAAAATGGAAAAAAGTTCTATTTAGAGGAATAAACACCTAATTTTATTTCAGTGTTACTGTTTAAAGTAACAGATTATATCTAAAAATGTCTCCAGACTTTTACTAGCTGATTTTAATTGGTTACCTCTGCTCTAGATGCTTCTTCCTACGGATCAATGCAACATTTCCTAAAGTTCAGATCATCTCACCCAGTAGTAGACCTGCACATCTAAAGTTTGCAGGTTCTCCTGAACGCATCATAGCTAGATTAATATTTAAACTCAGAAAACCATACAAGTGATGTCCTTCCACCTCTCCATCTTCGCCTGTTGCTAAAGACATGAAGCCTGTATGCTGGTAATCAGGGATGCATGTGGCAGGATTATCATCATCTCTGGAGATCAAAAGATTACAAATAATAACGGGAGCCGGAGCAGGAGAACACAGGCCACATGTCTGCACAAAGCAGACAAACCCGTTTCAACGTAAAGACAAATGGACCTGATCCGACTTGCTCAATATTTGTTTCTTCTGTCGGGTTAAAACCAGAGGAGCTGCTGCAGAGGAAACATTTGGCTGAAAATCCCTGCATCAACAGGGACTGACAGCCGGGGAAAAAATCCATCATGGTGTCTGCGTCTCTGAAAGCGCCGTGAGAATGATGCAGCAGTTTAATACGGGTTCCGTCTGCAGGATGATGGTATTTAACAGCAGGACACAGACGTCTAAGCTTCTTAGGCAGAAATGGAGCATCCCTTCACTTCTGTCTTTTAATAGAAAACAGACATATATTACATTTTCACAGCAGCAGATTTTCCCCCCCAAAGATTAATTCAACATGTTTAAAGGTTTTATTACGCAACAAATACTGCTGATGTAACATTCCCAAACCCGGTGATGGTGTTTTTGTGTTGCAGCTCATTTTATGAGGACAGACGGAGTGTTACTCCTGACCAGGACACTGGACCTCAGAACTTCCTCTTGGAATTGAAGTGGCTCTATTGCTGCCATTACATAAGCTCTGCATTGGTGGCACCATGATGTCCTGTTAATCCTACAGCGCTTAGAACTTCCTGAAAGTCCAGAAGCTTCACCCACTTATCTTGAAATATATTCTTTGCAGAAGATTGAGTCATTTTTAGTTGGTAAACGACAAAGGCTGCTGTTTCTGCTTTAACTACCTTCAATACAATTAAAATAGATTGTTATGATTGCTGAAGAGGAGGCACCGGTTGTTTAACCACTTGAGCTCGACGGTCTCCTAAATTCAGCAGAAAGAATCCAGCCAGTGGTGATAAAACATGACCAGTTTATGAACATCTGTGTAATGAGAAAAGGCTCCTCTACAGGATGAGAACATTTTCTTTGCCAATAAAAATCCCATTTCGATTCTAAGCAACTGAGCGGAAAAAGAAAAATAATTTTTTTCAAGATAATCGTGGCTTCTATCTGAACACAGAGCCTCTGTGGTGAGATAAAAGTTGATAAAATGAGTCAAAATGTCTCCTTCAGAGAGCCGTTCGGATTTATCACCTAAAATCCCCTTAAAAGATTTATGTTTTACAATTTATGCATGAAATATAGTACAGCAGTTGCTCAGGCGCTGCATTATGGTTTCCTAGAGGACTTGGATTGCAACCATCAAAGAAATATTAAATCCCAAAGTCCATTTTAGATGATTATTTTGCTGTTTAAACTCCATCGACTCTTAATAACAGTGTGGAGTTTAAAACTAATTATTTTAGTTGCTAAAATGTGTTGAATTAATGATTTTTTCAAGCAGATTTACTTAAAAGAGGCATAGAGAACAAGAGGCTAAGCTTAGATCCTTTATCATATGTTCCTGCTGTGTTTCTGGGAGTGTTTCTGCTGCAGGTCAAGGTGAAGAAAAGAGTAAATCTCCTGATTTAGCTTTAGGTCTAACCCTCAGCTGTAATACAGATCAACATAATCAGATCTCTGATGCCTGAGGTGTTCCTCTGCAGGATGACCTCCTCCTGGAGAAGAGGGGCGTAGGACGACAATGGACCTTCAGAAAAGTAAAAAATATTGAACTAATTATTCTTCCAGCATCCAAAGATCGATCTCCTTCCTCTGCAGAGGGAACCGAGTCACATTGCCTAAGTTAATGATGTCTATAGTCGCCTTCCTGCTTCAATAAAAAAAGAAATGACCTAATTAACTGAAGTGAAGTTTTAATTTGCCGCATTCTCCCACTCTGACTCCCACTCTTTCTTTTTTAGATCCATTTGTTACATAACTGCAAACTATTTTTTACATTTTCACGCATTGGAGGAACAGAAAGTAGTTGTGATGATCAGAACCCCTCGTCTCTCCCCCCATATTGGTTTAAGTTGATGCTGCGGTCCAACGAATGGCTTCAGTCTGGATTTAAGTTTTCATTTCCATCCTGTCCCAGCAGCTGCTGTAAAATCTGCCTGTTAAATATTTTATGCTCCCACCCTGAGTCATTCTGTTGTAAAGTTCAATATTCTTCTTCTGAGTCGTTTACAGATGTCCTGACTAGGGGTGTAAATAATAATCGTTTTGTATTGATGCATCGATCCGACAGCTGATGATCCGATGGATCGGCATGTCCGCAAGAGTATCGATTCATCTTTTTCCTCCCTCCGGTCTATTTTTATCCATTTGCTCCCGGACGTAAGTCTGACTCCGTGCTGCAATGGCGCTTAACCTATTTTGCCCTCCTACCTCGCTTCCTTTAGCCACTATCCTCTTGCAAGGCCTTTCAGAATCTCTAAAACATGGGAATTATTATTTTTCATATTTCAAATTTGAAACATTGTCTAGCCTGTAAGGTAAAAAGAAAAATATGAACCAATTAAGCGAATCGAATTGTGGTGCATTCTTGAGTATCAAAAATAATCGAATCGTTGGGTGTGATTTACACCTCTAGTCCTGACCCACTTGACCAAACCACAGCAGACAGGAACAGACACAGAAGGAGGACTGAAAGGGAGAACTTTAACAGGAAAGGAGCTCTGGTAGGAAGCATGGATGCTAAGAGGAAGTTATGAAGCGACACTCTGTGATGGTTACATGTAACTGCAAAGGATAGAGATGAAAACACTGTAAGACATCCAGACCTATGAAGGTAGATTTGTTTCTTTATTCAATTAAAGAATGGTTGCTTCAATCAAAAAATATATTTTCAATTAAAAACACATTAACTTCAATAAAGAAAAAAAAAGTATCAAAGAAAAAAATATTTGTACCTGAACTGTTTTTGCATTTGACAATTTTTTTCTTTAAATGAAAATATTTTTTTTGGAATTGAATGATGTCCTACCCATGTAAGTCCCTAACACAAAAGAATACTTCTATCAAAGAAAACATAAAAAAAATAAAAAAAGAAAGTGTTCCAATGCAATATTTTAACTCTCCAATATTTTATTTGCATTCAAAAACTATTTTCGATTGAAAACGATTGAAAACGTTTATCTTTTCATTGAAGTTACTTTTTTATTGATTGTGTTTGTTTGTTTAAAGCAACTTCTTCTTAGATTGAATGATAAAGACAAATGTCTTACCTATTATATGGTTCAATCTAAAAACAATCTTACTTCAATTGAAAAAGTTGATTTAAACTAAAAAAAAAATAGATTTCTATCAAAGAAAAGCAGTGTTCAACTGTATTTTTTATTTTTTTATCTCAGCTATATTTTTGGAAATAATTTTTTTCTTTGAAGTTTTTTTTTAATTGAAGTGAAGTTGTTTTTAATTGAAAATATATTTTTTGATTGAAGCATTTTTTTTTTAAATTGAATCCTAAAGAAACAAATCTACCTTCATACAGACCCGTCTAATTCTGAAGATTCATGCAGCCGATTGTTGGGAAAAAAAACCAGACTGCGTCAGATCCAGAGGTCCTGTTCCTCTCCATGAAAAGAATGCCTTTCATCAAGACCTGGAGAGTCGGAGAGACAGGAAGGAGAGGAGGTCCCTGCTGAAGCCATGAACTGGTGTGACCTGGATGATGGATGGGTGGAGGACTTTGCTTCAACCCTACTATTAAGATTTAAACCCTCAAACCTTGAATTCCACCTCAGCTTCTTTCTATAAAATCAAGTAACTCAAAATATAAATCTTGTTGCAGCCAGTCCCGCCTGCCCCTATAGACCTGTGGTCTGATTACACGTTCGCTCATCATCTATGGAGTTAATTTTGCTCCATTATTGTCCTAAGCACCTGAATGGAATTTTGAAAAAACACAAATTCAAACCAGAATTTGAATGGAAAAGATTCGTAATAAAAGAAGAAAAGGTTTTTAGTGTAACTTTTTTTGTTTTCTTAGATTTTGTATTATTTTACAGATATTTCCTTCACTTCTAAGGGCAGGCTTTCCTCCGGGGTAAGGAACAAAGCTGCATTTGTATTGGTCTGCTGGATGGAAGCAACATTTTTAATGGTCAAGAAGGAGAATTTGGATTGGATTTAAGTGAATTGAATCTAATCTGTAAAACACAATTTAAAGACAAGGCAATTAGGATTCAATCTAAACAAGAAATAAAATTTGCAAGAAATTTCTGACAAAATAAAATTTAAAAAATGATAATTTTGTAAAACAGTAAAGTTCCTCACAGCCTTCTTCCAATTAAGAAGGTTTTTAAAGTTTTATTTCCCTCAATTTCTTATTTCCATAACAGGATCTGTTTTTGCAACAATACTGGACCAAAATTAACTCCATAGCCTTCCTCCAAGTAAAGGCTGCCCTCTTTTGGACAAACACTACAGTGCAAGTTCTGAAATGCTATTTAAACTATATTTTCAAAGTATTGGTGCATTTTTAACTCCAAATGTTAGTTAAAAAAAAAAAATAATAGAGTTTTGGGGAAATCTTATCCCGTTACTGAGAAAAGCCATAAAAAGATCTGGAAAAGAAAGAAAGAAAGCAAAACAATGTCAACTTAAAATGAATTCGAGTTAAACATTGAATAACTCAAAAAAACACTCTGGACTCCTCATTCAGTTTCATTACCAGAATATTTATTTTATTCTTTTTTTTTTCCTATTAAAACACTAGCTGCCATATTTGATAAAACAGCCAACGGCTAAGTCCTCCAATCAAAACTCCTCAGACAGGTCACAGGGTCTGTGGGCGTGTCCTTGGCTTGCTGCTCCTGGCATGACCAAGCTGTTGTCATGGCGATCGACATAACAGGAAGTCTCGTATTGCATCATTCAGAGGCCGGGGGAAAATTTCTTTAGCTCTGCCGCCTTGTTATGAATATATATTCAGAATAAATATACATAACAGCACAGTGGCGCCTCCTGGAGGGAAGTTAAGGTAACTGAATGGGAAATAAAGTAATTATTATTGTAGTGAAAGGAACCTTAGAGAAAAGCTTTGGATGTTTGGTTTTCTTGCAGAATCTGAGTTCAGTTTTCTTTCCATCCACTAATTACAGCCGGCTGTAAATTAGCTGAGCAGGAAGGCAGGCAGAAGCAGCTACTCTCCAAAAACACGAAAGCCTTCTAAATTAGCACCTCATACTTTTTAAAGCTGCTCTAAAAAGGTAAAAATCACAAAGTTCTTTCGGCTTAAATGGCCCCAAACCAAGAAAATCAGACTTAAAGCTGCCATCACTTATCCATCTGCTGAGCGACGCTTCCTACTGGTTTCCAGGTTCACTGTAAAAGCTCTAAAAATGAACATCCACGCTTCAGCAAGAAAACCAAAGTCATCTTCGTGTGTAAGGAGATGAGGAATGTAGCAGGGGATCGAAAACAGGAGGAATGAAATAAAAAGAAATAAGACTTTAAATTGATCTGATGTTTGGATAAAATAGGAGAAAGTGAAAGAAAGGGCGGGGCTAACCCTGACCAGGAGAACAGCTTCAGCTCAGATTCATCCTGATCTAGGAGCTTCCTTTAAACCTAAAAGGCTTTAAATCAACAAATGTCAACAAATGAGAACAACCGGTTTAAACCTGCGCCGCCCTGACTGCTCTACATGTTCTCTTCAATCAGCTTTAACCAGGAAACGTTTTATCCTCCAGTTTACAGAAGTTGTTCATTCTTGGCACATTTAAACAACCCATAAAACTAAAATGAACATAATAAATGAATTAAACTAAACTTCTAGCTGTGCCATTATGCACTTTAAGCCTTTTTTTTTCTTAGTCTTACTTTCCCCCCCCTCTTTTTTTTTTTACTTTTTAAAGCGTTTAAAAGAATCCCAAACTTTGGCATAAATGGGAAGGAAGATCAAAACCTCCATTTAATATCTTTTTCTCAGTAAACGACGCCAAAATGTAGCCGCTGAGGCCGTTTAAACGGCTGGTTGACAGAAAAGTGTTTGAGAGTGAAGGAGAACGTCTGTAAATTCTACGTAGGAACCCTGAGTTTCTCACTTCTAACCCGCATTTATACATTTCTCTGACTGGGTTACAACGGATATGATGTCAAGCTGAAATGCCTTAACGTTCATTTAGCTAAATCAGAAATTGGGAGATTCACATTTTTACTAAACAGCTGAAAAAGTGTTTATTCATCCAACTGATTTGGGTTCTACCATATGATTTGTTGACAATAAAAAGAAAGTTCTTTTTATTAATGTTAGTGAGATTTACCTACAGGATGAGAATAACTGATTTGCTAAAGAACCTGCTTCAGGTGTCAAGAACCGAACCGGATCCAAATAAATGTTTCTAAATTCACTAGATAACATCAAGAAAACAGAAAAAATATATAGTTTTCTCTTTTATTATGAAATAGTGCTACAATGTACATTGCATTTTTTCTCCTGATTGCCCACAGTGTGGTGATGTGTGTCCTGATCTGTATTTCTGGTGAAAATGAAAAATATTTCAGCTTGTTCTGCATCAGAGCCAAATAAGTATCCATCTGACGGGCGAATTAACCCGGTTTTCTGTTAAAATCTGGTTCTTCATAAAAGCCTCCTTAGAAAACAACAGTCAGGTTTTCAGATGATTGAAGGAAGGAATCAGTCGAGCAGATGGATAGTTATTAAAAGCTCTCCTCTCTGTCTGGGTTTCACTCATCAGACCAAAGCAACGTATGGAGGAGAATAAAATGAAAATAAAAATGAGGTAAAAGGACAAACATAAAAGAGAAAAACGTTAAAATGATGAAGTCTGTCAGAGACGCCGGGACCGTCCTGAGTCCTCACGGGCTAGATTCATTAGAGAGTGCAGAGGTGGGAAAACCTGGAGGGGCGGGGACTGATGAGCCAGGAGGGCCAATGGCAGGCAGGCAGGCAGGAGAGGAGAGCCAATCAGAAGGCCTGCTGGGCAGGATTGTAGTTGAAAGTGGAGGGAACGTGGGGTCGCTCTTCTAGTTTGTCATATTCAAGATGAAACTCCTGGAAACAAAGAGTGAGAATTACTGATGGTACAACGATCCGGCGGGTCTGTTAAAAAAAAAAAAAAATATTAATAAATAATAGTTCTAAAAAGTTAACTTGGACAAAGAGGAAAAATAAAGCTGATCAATCAGCAGGACATTATGGGTACCTGCACAATACTTTCAAGGTACTCCTGATGGAATTCCAAACATACCTACAGGGTGACCAGGGGGTAAAACCTAGTAGCATTATAGAGTACAAATGATGTAACAGCAGAGTACTTTATAAGTTACTTCATAGGTACTGATGGGGTTTATAAGACTATAGGACTTGAAGATATAACAGAATATCTACAGGGTAGCAGTGAACTAAATAAAACCCAATACCTACAAGTGTGAATAAAGTAATCATCAATAATCAAGTAACTAGAGTACATGAACGGATACTTAAAGGTACTTAATGAGGTCCTTAAAAAGTACCCATGTATACCAACAAGGAACTCAGGTTAATTTGGGGAAACCTCCCAAGTACTCTCAAAGTACCTACAGGTTACTTTAAGTATTCTTATTGGATACTTACAGTGTACCTAAAGGTTGATACTAGGATCTGTAAAAGGAATACTCATAGGGACATGTCTGGGACACCAATTCCCATACTGGGAAGTCTTAAGGGTATTCCCAGGAAAACATGCAGTATTACAGAGTATGTAATGTTAACTAAGTACAGGGAAGTAACAGGATACCAGCAAGACATTTATGTTGCATCTATACGGAGTCTGCTTTTTCTCAATTATTGTTTCAAGTGAAGGAAACTTTTTGTAAGTAGAAATAATAAAATATAGAGAACTTTAAAAATACTTTAACCAAGAATATTTTGAGACGAACTTTCCTGTTTTCTCAAATGTGTTTATTTTATTTTTTACAGATTTTTTATTTTAGATTTTTTTTTTGATTTTTCAAATAAATTTTTTCCTCTTTTGAAAAAACAAAAAACAAAAAAATAAATAAATGTGCTTCTTTTTTTTCCAAGTTGAGAAAACTGCAAAGTTAGTCTGAAAATTATTTTTTGATTAAACATTTTTAAAGTTGTCATTCCTGGGTTTGTTTTTTTATTATTTCAGTTTACAAAAAGCTTTTTTTCTGCAAGAATAATGAAAAAAAATTCACTCTATACATCTTTAAGAGCAGGGCTAAAAATGTCGCCAAAGATGTAAATAACAAACCTACTTTAAGCGTATTAGCGCCACCTAAAGGACTGGAGTGAGAAAGTCAGCTTCTTACTCTTGTTAAATACAATTGGACCTAAAGTTGAGCCTCTCTGTTTAGCCTCTGTAACACCTTGTCTCTGAATTTTTTTTAAATTTACATATACATAGAGTAATGAGTCCAGAGCATATGTCTAACGACAGCCTAACTTATGCATAACGCACGGCAGCGTAATGCCCATTAAAATGATGCACAAGCCAGTTTCCTAAGGGGGGCAGTGATGCACCCGGAGGTGCCCAGCCTGCATAAAAATATTTGATTGTGGTATTAACGTAGCTGCTGTTTACCACTCACCCCCCCAAAAAAAAAAAAAAAAAAAAAAAAAAAAATTATATATATATATATATAAATATAAATAAATAAATAAAAAGAAAGAGAAAGAAAGAAGGTTTGCAATCGCAGCAGATTCAGCGTCATGTCCAATAGGAAGTTTGTTGGTCGTGGACGTGAACGCAGGGAGGATCCATCACACTCACTCTCACTCTGACAGATACCAAAAAGCTGCCAATACGCCATTATACAGTATCTGTAACTTAGAAACACGTTCAGCGGTCATCAGGAACGCCTCAGATATGTTGATATTTGTTCAGATAACTTACTTGTAGCTTATGAGCATACGCAGGCATACATAAACTTAAAGCATGCTTAAAATTTCCCAACATACTCATCGTATGTCGATGTGTTTCAGCGTGCTCATAACTTATCCAAAACGTACCCATAACTTATCCAACGGATGCCAGCATTTTTGCCTGATTTTTCATACATCAGGCATATGCTGTCTAAATCGTCAAGGTGTGACAGGGGGTTAATATGAAAATTGTTTTTCTACAGGACAAGCAACCCTTAGATTTCTATGATTTCCGCACATCCTTGACAGATGGTGTGCTGTCCTTTTAGATCTGTCCCAGGTCCAAGACACCTGAATCAAACAGCTGATTATCATCTTTACCATACAGTCGAGTTCTGATTATTCGCTTCATGTGTGTTAAAGCATCTAAAACACCTAAAAGTTGCAGGATAGCAGCCCTGGAGGATTGACGTTTGACACCTGTGCTTTAAACAACAGCTGGAAAATATACACAGGTTACTAAGGAACTACTTAAACGGTAAATAAAATTCCAGACTATTTATTTTTCATATGTTGTGTAAAGTTCTGTAAGTTGGAGCATTAGTGCAGTAATGCACCTCTAAGGTTCCTACAGGGTTTTTTCTAAGCCAAATGGCACAATATTAAGTCAAATGGCTCCTCTTAGCCTGGAAGAATCCTGTAGGAGCCACCTATGTACCGCTCTGTGTCGCTACAGCGGCGTCTCAAAGACATCTGAACTCCTTAGTGAGTTTGTTCACCTTAGCCACCTTCCTCCAGTTGAGACAATCGAAGAAGTAGTAGGTCCCTCTTTCGTAGGCGTTGGTTTTTAACGTGGGCTCCATTCCAGGGGCCCGTGTTATCCAAACCCGCTCCTCTTTATGATACCTCCAGTCCCGATTAAAACTGGACACAGAAACACAGGCGTATGGATGAGTTGAGGGTAAGATGCTGAAAGCGGTGCGGATTAAAGCCCTGCAGGTCGGCCTTACAGTTCTACTGCAGCCAGGAGTTGTAGCAGGTCTCCTCCGTTCATGTAGTAGAGATAAAACAGCAGATCTTCACCGTACCGAGACAACTTAATGGCTGCTAACTACAGAGAGCCAAACATACAGAAAAGGGAGCTTAGAAGCAAAGGAGGGATGCATTAAAGTCAAATTCAAATATATTCAGCAGGTGTTAAGCTTCTTAATGACTGCTTTGAATAATGAAGCACAGCTGTTCTTGCTCCGTACCTTGTCCCTTATGTGGATGTTGGTTAGGTACTCTGAGGGGACGTGGAAGTCTGCAGAGATAAAGACATAAAAGAGCAGAACATTTTACCTAAACTAAAATCAAAATTAAAAAACCTAACAGCTGGTAAACTCTGCCTCTGAGGGAGAAATCTGCTCTCCTCACTGACAGCAATTAAATCCTTTTAATGTAAACTCAGTGTTGATATGATCACAGGGTTGGTGTGAGAGACACTCACCGATGTCCTGCGGCCGACACGGCGCCGACGCCCACGGAGACGCAAACTTAGGGTAGAGATTCCTGACAGGAAATGACAACGTGTTAGAGGTCACTGTTTCAATCATTGTATATATTTAGCCCCAATATTTTCATTCCAACAAATGAAATGTTTCATCAGCAGAAAGTTTCGCTTTGTTTCATTTCAGGAACACAAATCTCAAAAGCGTGGCACGCTTTTTTATTCAGCTTAGATGTCACCTGATGATTTCAGAGAGTCTACCTGCAGGATTTAAACATGTATTCACATTCCAATATGGCTGCTTTGCGTAGAAAATCATTTTCTTCTATTCTATTTTTGTAGTGTTTCTCTTGGCTGCGCTGCTTCCATTAAATCTACATGGTTGCTATATTTTCTGTCCAATCAGATCTAAACCTTAGTCTGTTGAAGGCTTTCTTTAACAAATCAGATTTTAGATTAGCTCCACTGGGCCAGCTAGCGGGCCGCCCTAAAATCACCATGTTAGTTATTACAGCAAAAATGTTTACATCCAAGTTAAGCTAGCGACAATCTGCATTTTAGATTCGCTTTTGTTGAAAGTTTTTCTGGCCTTAATGGCCGATAATAAACAGAGACACAAAGACTTGCTGCAGAAAGACAGAAGGATAGATTTTCTTTATAAATAATCAGCATCTTTGATGAGTGTGATTTTTTTTTTTTCATGCTTTATGCTTCCTCTTATCTGGTAATAAAATTCATATTAAATCTGAACGGCTACTGATGATGTAAATGTGGCGGAGCTTTGGTTATAGAGGATTGCTTTTGCCTTAAATTGGCTTCTAGCTTAATTGATCTCGTTTATACCTGCGTTTGTTACATTTCATACTTGAATACTAATGGTGGTTTCTTTTATTAAAATGTGAAAGTGTTTATATAAACCCCTTGACACCCGTCATTGCAAATATGCAACAAACCCTTTGTCTGTATGATAGCATGTGCATTCCCTCAGTGCCAGTTATTACATTCAGTGAACAGGAACCTTTGGCAAGTTCTTGTTTCTGTTAAAACTGGTCCCTAACAGTTATATGTTATATAAATTTGATGCACCGCCTACCACCATGCGTCTAGCATGGGAATCCAATGCCATCCTATTTTTATGTCGGTTCCTGTGAGTTTTAGGGTATTGAATCCGGAATGGCACCTGAGATCTGCAGCACGATTCCAAACACATACTTTGCTTTCCATTTTTCCTCTTTTCTTTCAGCCTTTTGGGCTCAGTGGTTGGTACCGTTTCATTTGTAGTTTTTAACTGGGCTCTTCTTTGTGCTGTTCTGTAACTGAGCTCATCAACTATATGGAGGGAACTTTGTTCCATTATTGTTGCAAGAGATGAACATATATTCTGAATGAAGACGGAAAAAATGAAGATTGAAAAAAACAAAAAAACATGTGTATGTAGAAATAAAAAAATAATTGTTTGGTAAAATGACAAAAAAAAAGTTTTTGAATGGAAATCTGGAAAAAACCCTCCTTCACATGTAGGGGACCAAAGCCTCTTTGGACCCTCTATAACGGCTCTTTATAGATGCTAAAAATGACATAAAGAACCAACTAATGGACTAATATATCAAATCCCAGTCTTATAAGCATTAGTGTTTTTTTAAAATAAAGGATATTGGAACAGAATTCACAACAGAATTTTAAACTATTTTTCTTTTAATTAGTTTGGAAATTATGTTTTTCTACTATCTTTATTCATAAATCAATTAATATTCTATAGAAGAAAATCTATTCTGCATCTTATGAATCAGTTTGTTTTTCTTCATTTTAAAAACTAAAATACAACCAGTTGGTTGTTTAAAATGGCGACACATTTCCTGCGGCAGATATTTATTAAAAACAACAATTTGTGTTTAACTAAAAGCCTCAAACCTTCTTTAGAACGGGACCATTGTGGGTCTGAGGTTTTTAATCTCCTGTCTGTGTGCTCCTTGTTTTGGCAGTAGAGTGAGGACCATTTCTCTGATCTCACCATAGAAGTGAGGACATTTTGCTAACAGTTAGGTTTAAGACAAAGGCATGAATTAAGTTTAGGTTCACTTTAGGAAAGTCAATGGTCCTCACTACATATAGCAAAGTGAGGACGTGTGTGTGAGCCCGTCTTACTCAGGCGAGTTGAGGTTCAGGCCGAGCGTCGTCAGGTCTGAGCCCAGTGCCAGGTGGACCATGCCAGGATCCGTCTCTGCCGCCCGGATGAACGTCAACAAGCCGATCATCCCGAACTGGTCCGTTACCATGCCGACGGGAATGTTGGTCACCCGGCCTGAGACACAGAGTTTAAGGGCAGCTTTAGGGCTCATCCGGGTAGAGCGGGTGTAAACAAACCTGATTTGTATTCTTCAGCTATGATCACAAACATCAACCTCAGAAACAAACCAGTCAGAACTTACCATCAGGAAGCACCTGAATCCCTTTCTTCTGCTGGTTGTTGTTGCTGGGAGCAGAGCTCTTATCGCCAGGAAACTTAGGACCGTCGACGCTGGAGGAGGCCTTCCCCGATGAGTTCAGGTTCTGCTTAGCAGAAGCAGGAAGAAGAAACTCAGGCAAACCCAGATGTTTAAAGGGAGAAAACGTGAAGCCCGGGTTAACCCTCATGAACCCAACTTTATCAAAAACAGGTTCCGGACCGTTTTGTCGTCGTTGTTGCTGCTGGCGTCTTTTGTTTGGTAGTTTGGCCCTGGGAGAGCTGGGAAGTCCTCGTTATGGATCGAGAAGTCCTGTGACTGTTCACTGGATGGCTTGGTTACCATGCCAACTAGGAATCAAAAACAGGAAGAGATCCGTAATCAGATGAACAGTTAATCATCAATCAAAAAATGCTTCACTTTCATTGCTGCTTTGCTAAAACTTCAACAACCTAAAGCAGATGGTAATGTCTACTTTTCCAGGGAGGGAAACCAGACTAGGTCCAGTTCTGTTGAATTCTGCTCTTCTATTCAGTTTCAAAAGATTTTACAATTTTTAAGGATTTTATTTAAAGTCCTAAATAATTAAATGACTAAAAACCTGCTTGAATAAATTTTTACCTTTATAAAATATGTAAAATATATTTATTGCATCCACTGAGCTTCTTTTTCCATTTTATTCAACATCTGTGCTAAAGCCAACTGTTTGGAAATGTTTTGTAAAGTAACAGACTGCTCATATAACGGATCAATGATGATCTGCAGATGGTGCCAGGGAAACAACCAGATTCTGGTGGAACCGAACATCTTTTAAAAAACCCTCAGCTTCATGCCGCCAACAGACACTAGGGTTGTCAAAAGTATCGATACTCAAAAAAGTATCGATACTGAAACGTTGTATCCGGATACAATACTCATTTTCAAAAGTATCGATACAGCCATCTAAAGTGCATAGTGGAAAATGCACTTTCTCAACACTGTTTAATTGAATAATTCGCTGGATTTTTCAGTTTCAGACTTTTTTGTAACAGGTGCAGCTGCTGAGAATTATTTTTGTTTAACTGGTTTATTATTATGTTATTGTTTTTTTTATTTATTTCTTCTATTTTTTTAGTAATGAAAATATTTCTGTTGAATTTTAGAGTTTTTTTTTTTTCTTGTGGTATCGAAAAGGGTATCGAGTATCGAATATTTTACTTAGTATCGGTATCGAGTTGAAAAGTTTAGTATTGTGACAACCCTAACAGACACTGACTAAAAATGTAGCTCTTGGTAGCGCTGGGTGATAAAATGGATTTTTACCTTTACCACCATTCACTACTATAACCCGCACAAATTTTCCCATGTTGGTAAATTCAGTAAATAAGGCGGTAAACAAATCTGCCATTTTTCCTGGGTTTGCTGCTGGCTGGTAGTTCCTTCCTCTCTAAAACAAAGCAGCAGGTGTGTAATCCAGTGACTCCGTCAATCCAGTCAGAAGCGTAAACAAAGAGGGCGGATGAGCCCAGTGAAAAATCGTCTAACACAGTTGTATATTAATCATTTTTTTCAAATTAAGACGAGTGGGTCGGTTTCATGTTTTTCAATTTGCATGTTTCCAAGCAATACAAGGCCATGTCTATATAAAGACTCAAACTCACTGCAGATCCAGACATTTGAATTGAGAAAGCTTCCTGGAGGAGAAGCGAAACATCTTCAAATCTTGGAAACCAAGTCCAGTGGATTGTTTTTAAACTTTTATGGAATAACTATGACCTGGATGACTGAGAATGTTCATCAGCAGTTGTTTATTAAATTTCATCAGTTAATCCTGTGGAGCCGAGCGAGAGAAGAGATGAAGCCGAGCGTGCAGAGAAGAAGTTAAGAGCATGTTGTCAGAGCTGAGTGTGCGGCAGACCTGTTTTGAATGAGGGTGTGCGATGCACATTGTTCTCACTACACGTTCAGTTCAGTGGCACCTAAATTACGCCATAGATGTTGAGCAAAGGAACACGAAAAGTAAAGTTGGTCTGAAAACTGTCAGACCCAAAGTAGCACATCCAACCTCTACCACCACCTACAGCGCAACCAGGCTGTTGAGTTCAAAGATGTGCAAAAGCCTCGGTTACCTTTGCACAAAAACATTTGCAAGAGAGGAAACATTTTTCTCCTGTTCAATAAAACATTGTTGAATGTTTAAACCTGAATGGGTGCAAGCCTTTAATAGTTAAATGAAAGTAATATTTAATGTTATAAATAAATTATAAATATATCAGTTGCATTTCCTGCACATGCCGTTATTTCTGATAGAGAAGCTGAAGCATTTATTATGGAGGCTAGGTGGAAGTTCAACTGAAGAAACTGATTGCTCTCTTACATCCACCTGAAACACAGCTAATGCGCTTGTCTGCTCCTGTGCGCAGGCGGTGGATGTACTGTGTGACTTCATTCAAATGACCCCGTTTCAACCCAGCCCCTCCTCCACCATCATAACTAAAGTGTCATTACTCCCTCACTCTTCCTGCATTCTGCGTCTAATTTTAACCATTCCGGCACAGGACCGCCATGTTGAGTCTGGTTTTGCCAGAGGTTTCTTCCCAACGGGGAATTTTTCCTCTCCACTGTCGCTTCATGCTTGCTCATCATGGACAGGTTCTCTCAACCTGTGTTATCCAAACTGGACTTCTATCTTCCAGGTCCCTGAGTGAAGCTCTAGTATCAGCTCACACAGTCTACTGGATCTCCCCATGAAGCTCAGCAGACTGTCTTGCTAACCAGCAGTCTACAGACTGACCAACTTCATCTCCACTCCACCACCAGTTTCAGGCCTGGGGGAAAACAGCTCTATTCTTTGCTCCTGTTCATGCATAACTATCAAAATGAAGCGTTATGTTTCCTGCTGAGGTCTGAGCGCCAAAGACAAAGTAAATGTATCAATAAATTCCTTCTAATTGTCTTTTCTCTTAGTGTGAGATTTTCATATTGAACTGCATTTATCGTTATTGAGGTAAAACTAGCCAATTTACTACGACATTGATATGAGGTCATATCGCCCAGCACTAGCTCTAAATGGACCTGCTTGACCAACTCTCAACACCAACAATAATGTTTTATCTCGCTTTATGAGTACTGATCTATTTTAGGCTGTTTATTTGGGCTCCTTGCTGCTCACACTATGGTACGTGTTTAATGCAATCAGCTGTTAGAGGTGTTCTAGCAGCTTGATGAAGCTCTTCCTACTGATTTTAGGGCAGAAACACAGATAAACTGAGCGTCTTTCTTCTGGCCTGGAAAATCAAAACCAGTAATAATGATTGATATTTCATCAGGCTAAAGCCAGTATTGACTCTAAGGTTGACTTTGAATACTATAAAAAGCAGATATAGGATCTAAAATACATTTTAAGTCCTAAAATGTTTACATTTAGGTTCTTGCATTAACCGTCAATAAAAGGAAAAACTGAGAGTACCAGTTCTTTGTGTGAACTAAAGGAATCAGAGCGTGTGTTTTACCGTAGGGCGCCCGACCGGCCAGCGGGTTGAGCTGCGGCGTGGGATTCGAATTTCCGTCTCTCCGGCTCCGGTCCGCCAGTGCCGGGAAGTCTGACAGATCCAACCCCGTTACATTCTCACTGCCGTCTGGAGGAAGCGTGACGACAAACAGCCGTTATTCTGTGGGATTTTCAAACCTGAAATGTTCTCCGTGGGGACCTCGGCCTTCGCACCTGTGCCGTTGAAGATGTTGCTGGTTAAGGACTCTCTCATGTTGAAGCCTGGATTCCTGTTCAGTATTAAAGTCAAAGTCAGTTTGTTTGGTTTCGCTGATCTGAGGTGTGGTTCTTTTTCACTCCACTTCATGGTTACCTGTGGTAGCCAGTGGGCGGGGCTAAGACTGCTCTGGATAATCACAGTTTAAAATATAAAACTAATAAACATTTACGCAGAATTTTTGCTCATAATAACTTGTAGTTGTTGATTTATACTTTTAGATATTCTTTTATAAACATTTGATCATTTAACGTTCTTTATAAACTATTTTATTTCAATTAAGTTGTATAAATGAAATTATTCTCGTAAATAATTTTTGTCTCTTTATATCCAGCAGGGAAATAGATGCTGGAATCATAGTCCATAAATCTGAGCAGCTTTATTTAAACTTTATCATCCTGTTCCCAGATCAGCCCAGAACTTCTGGTCATGGAGGATGAGGTGCAAACAGAACCTTAAGGGGGAGATGTTTTGTTTTCTCCTCACCTGTTGAAGGAGAACGGCTGCCGCGCCTGCTGATGTTTGGGCATGCCGATGATGCTCGGAGACGACCGGCTGGGACTCCCCATGGTGCCGCTCCTCCCCCCGCCGCCTCCCCCACCTCCTAACCCGCTCGTCTGCCCCGTTGGTCCGCCGACCTGCTGGTTGTGGTTCAGCACGCTCCGGCTACTTATGGGCATGATGGACCCCCTGCAGAAGCAGAAAACACAGGTTAAGAACTCATATTCCTGGACAGAGAAGGAATCGGTCATAACCTGAAGGAAGGGAGCTGGTTTCTAAGATTATCTTAGATCCTTTATGATGATATGGATCATACAGTAACTAATAACTTCCCTAACATTGTGCTGACTTAATTCAGCACATTGATTAAACTGTGTATCAGGTGTTAGAATCTGTTAGACCTAAAAATGATCTCGCTCTCTCTAAAAAAACAAAACTATTTAAGGTCAGATCGCCATACGCTTTAAAAAAACACCAAAAACTAAGTAATTAAATAGTATTTTTTTACATGACTGAAGGGATACACGCACACTAAGGTAGTTTAAAGTCTTTTTTTCACACAAAAATAAAGGGATAAACTAAAGGTATAAATGGGTATTGATTATAGGTATGCTGGTCTGACAGAACATCAGTCTGAACGCAAATCATCCTGTAAACATTTACCCCTCCTCTCTCCTACAGCTGCAGCTACAGGTACTGTGGATCTCTCAGTTCAGTTGAGCTGCACCCTGAACACCAGTCAGTGACAAACACTGTTACTACAGACCATAACTTACGTAAAACACTGGAAATGTGTTTTAAAATTAAACAGCTCTTATTTAAAAATAATTATAAAATGATAAACATTTATATTGAAGTGTTTATCAGACCCAGGAGGAAAAAAATTGATTTCCATTATTAGATTTATTATCTACACTGGAACTAGAATATTCTACCAGTGAGTAGAAGTTAAACCAGGATATAGTTCAGATATCTAACAGTTCATGTTTTATTTGTTTCAATGTTTTACTGTTTTCAGTGTTTACTGGGCAAATTTTCACCATATTTGCAGAAAATGTCTTTTTATTTTCTTTCAAACATCTTCACAGCCTCCTGTCCCCCCCCCCCCCCCCCCCCCCCCCCTTTTGTGTTGTTTGGAAGTTGAAGAACTTTTAGCTTTTATGTGGAAATTTACTCCTTAATTTTTTGTTCTGCATTTAGACCTTGAATTTCACCATTTAATGTTAACTTTTTACCTGATCAATGACCAACATTTCTGTATTTTTTAAGCTAAATGTAGGAATTTTAAAGGAGAGAGATTAATGCCAGAGTAAAGTTCATTCTGAACCGTTCCGGTCATGGCAGAACTAAAGTTTCTTTTTGTTTTACTACCTGCTATTATCTCTGTTTGCTTTTATTTTTCTTCTTTTTTATAGTTTAATTCGCATAAGGCACTTTAATTTGTCCTTTTGCTGCATTGTGTTACCAATTAACTAGCTGTGCTTTGCCTAAGAGACTAAAATATAAAACTAATGCAGAGTCTGCAAACTCTAAGGAGCATTCTTAACTGAATTGGAGCCATAAATCCGCAGAGGCAGCCGGGATTAGTTCAATATTTTGCTGCTATCTAATTAAATAAATGCAATGAGAAATGATGAAAGAAGCTGGAAGCACATCAGGAAATGTTTTCAGGGTTTATAGTTAAAGCAGGCAAACCTGCTGGGTGAGGGGGGCGTGTGCAGCTGTCCGGAGTTGGGAGTACTGGTGTGACCAGAGAGCTGGCTGGCAGGCTGGTTCAGCGAGCTTCGACTTAGCGGTGCAGCTGCGCTGCTGTTGATCCCGCGCAGAGGGAAGCCCAGAGCACCTGCAGCCGGGGGGACAGAGGAAAAGACGACAGAAACAGAGAAGAAAAGCTCGGTTTATAAGCAAAGGAAACTTTCTGTGTTTATCTGAGCTGAGCTTCAGAGAGAATGAACTTTGAGATCGTTTTAACAATATTTTAGAAAGAAGCTTTCAATTTCCAGGCAGACTTTGTTCAGCAAAGAGTTTATTAATGCCTCAATAGGTTGCCAGTCTTGTAGGTCTCCATCAGAGGAGTGATGTAACTACTGACATTTACATTAGCTACATTTTGAAAAGAAAAGCATTTTGATAAGTATTGTGCAGTAAAACTACTCTACTTTCATTTATATTTTTGTGAGGAAACTCCTCGTACTTTAGTCATGTTTCTGGCTCCTCTGAGTAACTGAAGCTATTTGGACATCAAACAGTCAACCTTTGATATTTTAGTGGAAGTTTTTTACTCTGTCATAACATATAGTGTACTCCTTAACACTAGAACTACCAAGGCCGCCATTTTGAAGGTTTCGAGATTTGAAAGTGAAAGAACTTTATTTGCATTAATCATGAAGCTCATGTTAACTGACTTTTCCTGTTTCTATATTTCCTTCATTTTCATGTAGTTTTTAAATAAAATAAAAACAATAAAATAAATATGGTTAATCTTACCTCAATCTCCCACAGCCGTACTTTTGACGGCTCTATTAGTCGGATTTTAAAATCTTCCAGCGTGGTATGGTTGCCTAGCAACAAACATTCTACCTAGAACTCTTTGGCTAATACGGAAAAATGGCTTTCAGAAGAAATCTAACCGCTAAACAGACTTAAGAAATGCTTCAAAATATTGATGATAGCGATTCTGGCAGGGAGGGAGAGACGGATGAGGAGGACTGGGTAGGAAGCGGCTCAGATTCTGACAGCGAGTCCAAGGATGATCACCCATGCAAGGGAAAATGCAAACGTATCAGTGACCCATCAGACAATAGTGAAACTTTTGTTCAAGGTTTGGAACCTCAGCCGGTACACCAAACCAGAGCCGTGGTTTACTATAACCGCACACAGGTCGGCGTTGGATGTGTCGGATCAGATGATTAGAAAGTATTATGTAAAAGCTCCAACGAGAACGTGGCCTGTGGCTGCATTTTACGACCAGCTGGACATAGCAGCTATAAACGCGTTGGTTTTTTTCGGGAGCTGTTTGAACGTCACCGTCTCACGCAGAGATTTTATCCTTGAACTGATAAAACCACAAGCGCTCCGCAGGTTACAAGCCCCTCCGCCGCTGAAGAGCAGCTTTGGCGTGGCAAAGAAAACAGTGGCAGGTGCTTCAACGCTGCACAAAAAAACACTCGTATGATGTTTGTCACAAATGTGAAAAGGTGGTGTGCAGGAAATGTACGGGGGGGGGGGTAAATCAATTTCTGCAGTGGATAAAGTAGCCACTGCAGACAGATATTAGCAGACTCTGCTCCTCCAGATCACAGGAGGGCTTACAATTTTTTGTGTTTTTCTGTTGACTTCTTACATAATTCATCAAAATTATATGTGTTTAAGTAAACATGTATGCATATGTGGGAATGTGTATTTATATATTTTTTCTTTCTTGGAGGACTGTTTAAGTTTGTTTTGTCATTTAAAATCAATGTCAAAGAAAAACTGTTGGGGTGGAAATGACTTTAGGAAGAATAGATGTACTTGTTTTAATTAGTGGAGATCAAAATAAATAGATATGAATACAAATATCGGAGCCTTTAGCACTTGATAATATGTGTTTTATCAGCTCACAGGTTAGTCTGGGGCGGGCAGCATTATTGGGTCATTTAAAGCACCTTGACAGGATTAATTAAGCCCTGACTGGAACAGAAGTGGAAACCTTTGAGCAGAAATAAATGTGGGTGTTGACCTTACTCTGTGGGGCGTATAAGCTGGCTCCCAGCTGTGACAGCTGACTCGTTGAGGAGGAAGACGACAGCATCTGAACACAGGAAGCACAAACATAAATCTTCCTCCAGTTAAATCGCTCCACGTGAAACACTGAACAACGAGTTACTGTTGGATGCATCCAGACCACAATGAGCAGAAACACACTTTTCTCTTTTTATAGTTTTCAAGTTTTTTTTGTTGTGTTTCAAAGCCACCAAACAAGATTCAGAGGAAAAGCTAACATTTTCTTCAGTTTTAAATGTGCTGAAGGTGTTCGTTGTAAATTCAGAGCCTCGCTGGTATTAAAGGGAGATTTTACTCCTTTTTAAAAAGATGAAAGCATTCAATGAGGTTTTTATTTAACAAACCAGGACATTGTATGTAACTGAGAAAAATCTGAAAAGTGTGGCATGGGTTTCTATGTCACTCCCTCAGCTAATCAATCAGAATCACCATCATTAAACTCAACCCAATGGATCTGTAAACATTTTTGTTTGGCCACAGGTTTGATTTGTTCCTCTGCCTTTCAGATGAATCGGCTCTGATCTAAACCACCTCTGGTTGTCCTGCAGTAAGGTTCAGCTTCCTGCAGCCTCATCCTGACCTTTCTCCTAAATGCATGATTCTGCTGCTTCACTAAAGTTCTACTAAAAAACTATTGACGGCTTCACAGAGCAGCTGCGTTTATACTGACATCTGATCTCACGCTTTATTTACTACTGACGAAGCTTCCTGATGGAATTAGGTGCACTGGATTAAGAATAGATGAAGCCAAACAGAAATCAGCCACACTTTCCAGAATCAGTTTGTAAAATAAAATAATTAAAAACTAAACAGTTTTAATTTTCCTTCAAATTTATTCCTTACTTGACAAAAAAATCACCAACTAAAACCCTGATTTTCTCTGGTCTGTAAAATCAGCCCCTGAAATCGGATGCTCTGAGGCGGTGATGCTGCCGCCGAGTTACAGACTTACATCTTTGTCGGCTCGATGAGGAGCGAACATGGACGTGTGGCCATAGTAGAGGCCGGAGTCGTCCGAAGCGTACTCGCTCTCGATCCCCCCCTCCATAAACTTCTTCCGGGTAGCACCAAACATTCCGCGTGTCACCTGGGAGATAATTAGAGAAATGGTCAGGTCACATTAACGCAGCTCCGATCACGCATCGGATCCATGACAGACGGGATAAATGACGTTCCTTTCAGGTTCTACTGTCTGTGGCTCAATGTTTCACATTCCTGCAGGTAAAAGGAAGAACCCGGACGGTTTAGAGCATAACAGACCCATGAAGCTCCCAGTTCTCAAGACTTTAACAGACGTGTAGATGATCAAAGTAGCACTTTTCTAAATGTATTAAATATGCACACCACTGCTGATAATCATTCCTCAATACAAAATATTGAATAAACTGTTCTTTTGAACCTTTGCACCTTTTAAATGGTGGTGCAAATGTGCTCAAGTGCTTCTGGGAACCAGGGCATGTTGCAGATATCAGCTCAGATCAGCTGGTAGATCAGGTGTTAAAGATGAAAATTTACAGTTTTTAACCCCGATACCACTCTGTAATGCAATTAGGAAAATGTTTTGCTTAGAGATAATAAAACATTAATGTTACGTCATTTTTAAGTTTTGTTTAAAAAACGCAAATAAAAAAGGACTAATTTTAGATATCGGAACCAATTGAAGGAACTCAGTGTAACGTTTAGTCACTAGGGGTGCTAGAGCCTTTAACTTCAAAGTAAATCGTCGCAAAAGTGGTTTGTTTTTCCTTATTCCTATTGCTTCCAACGCATCACTTATATTGGTGATCAGATGAAGCAAGCACTGACGTTGAGTCTTTGGTGTTTAAGATGCTGTGTGTGTGAGGAAAATTCGGAGAAGCTTTCTTAGCAACAGGAGGCTAACTTGGTGTTGGGATACTCAACTGCCTCGGTTTGAAAAGGACCCAGTCTGCCGCCGGCGTCCAGGTCATTTGCTGTGATATATCTGTCCAGGTTGATAACTCAGAATGCCATAAAGCGGCACTCTGGGTCAAATGAAACATTCTGGGTTTCAGCTTATAGGCTTATAGGCTTCACCTTCACATCACATCACACAACACTACCTAAATAATCCTTTAATAGATCTCAAACTAAGATCATACTTAGATAAGAAGTTATATAGTCTTTCTTTAAAGCTCCTAAAATCCGGCTGACTTGGACTTTGAGTTTTTAGAGCCACTAAAAGGGATTATCTTTTCCAGGATCCACCTTTACAGCTGATTCTGGACCCCCTGGAGCAGGTGGACATCACCATTCACCAATTAAAGCTTTAGAAAATAATTATGAAAATGGAAGTGTTATGTAAAGCTTCTCTGCTTTTGTCTTTTTCACCAAATTACGAAATCATAGCGTTTATCTTCACATCTTTGCCAAAATTTTTGTTCCCGAAAGAGAAAACGACTAAGGTTTGTCCATCTTACAGGTTCAAAATGTGCTTTTACACTGAAATACTATTTAAAAACCACAACAATCATGTGTTAAAATCCCACAGAAAATTGCCCTAACATCAATTATGTATCCGGGCTAGGTTGGACCAAATAGCTTTTCTTAATGTCTATCATTTAGTGCAAAGAGGATTTAAAACTGTCGCTCTGAGATTAAACTGTCGCTGATGCCCAAAGGGTGACACCCGTAGTAATCAAAACAAGCAGAATATTTAACACACTTCGGATTGAATAATGTTGTTTTCAATAACAATGTACATTTACACACTTTGCAAAGACTTAAAACGAGATCTTATCCAGCAAAGTCATTCCGGTTGATCCACAATGAAAAGGCTGCAGAGTTGAAGCAGGCAAAAACAGGTTTTGTAGATGCAAACAAACTGGATCCGTCCTGCCTTCTTCTGCAATATATAGATGATTTTAATTTACTGACATATGCGAAGATTCATATCTTCTCTATCTGTACCTAAAACAGCCAATTCTAGTTATAATAAACGAATTACCATCTAATGGAGATCAGCAGTCTATTAAACACGAGCATTCTACTCACAACAGATTTACCCTCAGATGTTAAAACACAATAGGAATAAAAATGTCCAGAAGATCAGTCCCCTCTCCATCACTGCTACTTCCTTTTGTTTAACACAACTAGTAACACAGCAAGCATCACCAGCGACAAAGAGGAATAAACTCAGTCTGATTTAGGAAAATATAATTACTATTTAACCACTGTTCACTAAGCTAACTCATTTAAATCCTGCAGCATTAGTAATGGAAGCAGGTATATGAGTTTAAAAGCCAGGACGGTTAGCAAGTAGCTGTAAGATAGCCATGCATGCTAATGCTAGCGCGAACACTAGATTGTTTTCATATTTATATGCATGTATACATTTCCACAACACTCGGGGTATTAGTTTGTTTGTCGTTAAGGTGATAATATAAGCTGCTTACATAAGTCGGCGTTAAAGTTTTAAACAGTACTCATAGCTGTAGCTAACCACCGCCAGCTAAATCCATAGAAAGCGCTGGGTTGTTAGCATATGAGCTAACAGCTAGCTAGAACGCACAACCAGAACAGAATCGTTAAAACGTTTTTAATGTTTTTACTCCAATCTGTTAGGTCGGGTTCAATTGTTATCAACTCGTGGACTGTTAAGAAACAAATAAAAGCGGTATAAAATAGTGTTTATGTCCATTTAAATGTGGAGGCCTGCTGCGCCTCCGTCAACTACTTCCCCCAAAACAACAACAAAAACCAACCGACTGCTGGCTTTAAAGCTCCTTTTCACGCCGTTTTTCCTCGCTGCGCGGATCACATAATCACGGACACGCGTGGAGTGTCCGTTTACGCGGAATTGAGGAGAATAGGAACTTAAACGATAATTTAAACCGGGAAACAAAACAGAAAAAGGAGCTCACCGCATCAATCTGTCCTCCCACTACAAGATGGCCGACAGGATGCTGAGATGCTGACCTCTGAGGGCCATCATTCTCTTTTAGATTAATCTAATCAGTTTAGGTTTATGAAAATGTTTGTTAATTAAATTATTCTATAACTTACTGTTATTATTTTAGATTTATTAGAATGGTTGTGGTTTATTAAGTTATGTTTAGGTTTACTGGAATCAGTCAAGGATCATGTTCACATACAATCGTTATACTAAAGTGTAATCAAAAGAGATTTATTTTATGTAATCTTTGTAAAAGCTATTCCATAAATACCTTAGGCTGGGACCTGACCTTTTTTTTTGTGTTTTTCTTTTTTTTTGTATGGATTGGATGGATGGATTACTTCAGATTGCAATCATTGGGCATAATACAGAGGTTTAAAAGATGTAATTTATGCCACTAGCATGGCTACCCAAACATGTGAAGTCATACAGTAAGTAGTAGAAAAACTCTGACAATGCCACTGCAATGTACTTTGCTCTATGTTTCTAATTGTGTGTCCTAATTGTGTATTAAAGACATAAAAACCTGGATGACTCTTAACTTTCTGCTTCTGAAAGCAGACGAGACAGAGGTTATAGCCTTTGGACCACATTCTTTGAAAAATAAGCTGATTAATCAGTTGCTTAATTTGGATGGGATTAAATCGACAATGAAGTAAAAAAATCATGTTTTTTTTTTTTTTTTTTTTTTTTTTTTTTTTTTATCATGACCTGTCATTTAAATCCCATATCAAAAATGTTTCTTGAATTTCCTTCTTTAATCTCTGGAATATTGCAAAAAAAATTTGAAATTTCCTGTCCAGGGTTGATGCTGAGAAACTAGTCCATGCATTTTTTACTTCAAGGCTGTTGTAATTCTTTACTATGAGGAATTCTTTAATATGAGGAAGTCCACAAACTCTAGTTAAAAGCCTTCAGCTGATCCAAAATGCTGCAGCCAGAGTTCTGATGAAAATTAAAAAGAGAGATCATATCTCTCCTATCCTAGCTTCTCTTCATTGGCTTCCTGTTAAATCCATACAATAATTTAAAATCCTCCTTCTCACATATAAAGCCTTAAATGGCCAGGCTCCATCTGATATCAGAGATATAATTGTTCCTTATGTTCCGAATAGAAAACTTCACTCTCAAGTTTACTAGTGGTTCCTTAAATTTCAGGAGTCAAATCTTTTAGTTATCAGGCTCCTCTCCTGTGGAACCAACTTCCAGTTTTTGGTCAGTGAGGCAGACACCCTGTCTACTTCTAAGGCTAGGCTTAAAACTTTCCTTTTTGATAAAGCTTATAGTTAGAGTGGCTCAGGTTATCCTGAGCTATCTCTATAGTTATGCTGCTATAGGCTTAGACTGCTGGAGGACATAAGGACCCCTTTTCATCATTCTGCTTCATTCTATCTCTATTCTCATATTCTGCAGAATCTGTTAGTTCAATCTCTAACATTCTGCTCTCTCTGCTTTATCTCATAGTAACTTCATCTGGTCTGTTCCTATTTGGATGTGACTCCATCCTGGAGAGAAATATCAGCTGTGCTGCTGCCATCAACACCTTTGTTTATAGATGTTGGAGATCGGCCCATTTTTTAGTGTAGTCCTGTTTCTCTGAGTGTGACTGGCTGGATGTGCTCTCTTCATCCTCTGACATGGCAGCTGGCTTGGAGCTCGTCTGCCTGGCTGTGTGTTTCTTGGACAGGGCCGCCTGTTGAGCTGTGTTATGGAAAGCCCCGTGTTCCACCTTGAAGCTTTCTCTCTCTGGTTCTTTTCCTAAAAAGAGATCACTTGGGACAAACTCTTTAAATAACACTTCATAATTTATATGTATTAAATAACCATGAGAAAGGACAACAGATTTTTATAGAAATGTTTATCTTACTCTGTTTTGTCCTTGGTTTTGACTGGTGCAAAGATAACACCCATATCCTGAATGTGGAGAAGACGAAGGAGATCATCTTGATTTTCAGGAAGAACCGGCCTAACCACGCTCCACTGGTCATCAACAGCTCAGCTGCAGAGGTGATCAGCAGCACCAAATTCCTGGGACTGATCTCCCTGCTGCCCTCTGGGAAGAGGCTTTGAAGCATCCGATGCAGGTCCAGCAGATTCCATAACAGTTTCTTCCCCACTGCCATTAGACTGCTGAATGTTGTGTAAAATGGGCTATTTTATTTATAGAAAAAAATGTATAAATAATTAATGTTAGAACTGTAAATATACAGACATATGTTTATATTACTATTTTTTATGTATTTATTACTCTTTTTCAAGGCTGCACTTTAAAAAATGAAATTGTCTAGAAACTCGTCAGGATAAACTCACTGGGATACGGTAGAGAACTCTCACCTACGGCTCGAATAATCTGGCACTGATGGCTGGGACCAAGCAGTTAAGATAGGAACTGGAACAGGTGGATCTGATGATTGATAATGAGAACTTGGTGTAGCTAGGCAGGTGGATGGAATAAACCAAGAATCCAGTCATTAGTGCCAAGATCATGACAGTAACAGAAAGCAGTGCTTATCAACTGCTCCAGCTTTATCAAAATATTACACATGGTCCTTAGATCAAGGACACCACTCTCATTTATTTACAAACCTTTGCCATTTGATACTGAAGAGGACTTTTTATTCTGACATAAAAACTTGTCCTAAATAGATACACTACTTTGGAAAATAATAGTTCTGAAACACAACAGGCAGGTAATATTATGCCCCATTCACACTACCCTTCTGAAATCGATCCATCAGTTAATCGTGCCGAGCTTGGTTCCTTACGAACATTTACACATCAACGGTTCCTCGCCTCCTACTGGGGGTCCATGATACTACAGCTCTCATGGCAGGAATTATGCAAACAAAAATGGCGGGCCCATAACATTCAGGAACTTATATGCCTGGATATCGTCCTACGCCCAGATTTCAATGAGAGCCTCGGTCTCAGCATAATCCCAGGTCGCACCACGCTCTTTTGATACCATTTATTGTTTATAGGCTGAGAAGAAGTTCATGTTGGGAACAGTTGAAGAGATCTGTGAATTACAACACAGGACATGGCGGAAAACCCGCTTAAAGTCAGCTGACTCTAAATGGAAGTGGATGCGATCTGTTCATGCGCTCTTTGTTATCAGAGAACCAAGGCCAAACTAGACCGCACCGAGCCATACTGTTGAACTAGTACTAGATTGCATTCTATTTACTCTCAACTAGGTTACCATGCTCAGACTGTTTTAAAAGGGTAGTGTAAATGGGGCTAAAAGTTGTAATAGACTCACACATCATCAACGATAATTACTCTGCCTATTCCCCGTGAGAAGGTGACGTTTTTAAAGTCACCTTTAAACAAACACTCGTATGTCTCATACAAAAAAAAATGCCTCTTCATGACAAGGATATTACATTAAAATAGAAGAAAAAAGAAAAAACCTGCTCTGAAGAAGCTCGATTTTTCTCAACTTCATAGAATCATGGAATAAACAGTAAACTGTCCCCCATATGATGTAGCATTAATGGATCTAAAGTAGAAAATATAAAAAATAGAAATAGAACTTCATTGATCTCACAATGGAGAAATTCTCTGCATTTAACCCATCCCCTTGGGGAGCGGTGGGCTGCCACTGTGCGGCGCCCGGGGAGCAGTGTGGGGTTTAGAGTCTTGCTCAGAGGCACAAGCGCAATGCTCTAACCACTAGGCCAACACTCCCCCGTAATCACAATCAGAACTCACAGACAAAATATCATCACTGAAGAGGGAAAAAAGGGAGTTTTCCTTTCCACTGTCACTACAAGCATGCTTGGTGTGAAAGAATGCCTTCGAGTCAATGAGTTGATGCACTCAGCTTATTTTCCTCAGACATAAAACTGAACCAATTTGGAGCTGTAGGAAAAAACTGAATTGAATTGAATGGACCTGAGGTCACAGATTAGCGGACCGCGGTCTGGATCTGGACCCACTTTCTGGCTAATATATATATGTTTTTTAAGTCAACTTGTGACATTGATGCATAAAAACCTAATTTTTTTTCAGTGTTAAATTCTGTTTTAAGTAACAGATTATAATTAAAAATGTCTCCGGACCTTTACTGATTTTTGATTTTCTTTATTCAGACCCTGCTGATTTTTAACTGGTTACCCCTGGAATAGTGTAAGCCCTAAACCTAAAATTTTCTTGTCATTACGATATCTTTTTTTAAAACATAATTTAACATTGGTCAACTGTGGATATGTGCCCCAGGTTTTCAAGAGTCAAGTATGGAGGAGGAGGAGAGTACATTAAAAAAAGAAAAACAACAATTTTAATCTAACATTTATATCACATAATCAGAAATCCTGTTTGAAAATACTTTTCTAATTTTAGATTTGTAATTGAATTATTAAAGAGCAATTATAAATTGTATTTATTGAGTACTGCAAATGGAAATCAGAAAATGCACAATTAGAAAGCGCTTTTTTAAGGTTTCTAAATTAACTATTTAGATGTTAAATTAAAATGGATATTTTTCTTTTTCAGTGTCTCTCCTGCACCTACATTGTCAAAAGCAGTTGTTAAAGGTTTTTTCAGGGGCCCCACCATCTTATTTTCACTGAAATTAGTGAAATGTTCTCATGGGAGCACTAGATGGTGGTAGTGATGTCTGCTATCAGGCCAACAGGTCAGAGCTGGAAAAAATGATGAAACAGAAACAATGTGTATAATTGACAAAATGGTGGAAACAGAGAGAGAGAGAGAGCAGTTGGGCTCATGAGTTAATAAACTTCTTTAACAATGAAACAATTATTAACCTCACAAGAAAAAAGTATCCTGGAAAGGATGTACAACTTTGTCTCATGTTTTAGAAGGAAATTTCAGCTTCAGATGACCTAGTTAAATACTCAGAATTTTAAATTTTTTTGTTTTGCAATTTCCTTAACACCCCTGGTACGGTTTATTTTGAAATACATCTTTTTGAGTGCTTGCAGCTAC